ACGGGAGAATAAAGGCGATCCTCCTGCAGACAGCAGCGAGTGCAGCTGGAGTTGCAGCTTTAGCCAACGTTCAGACACGTTTCATGTGCGTTTCCATTGTTTGCTTTTAGGCTCATTTGTACAATGAACTCTCTCTGAAGCTCTTCTGTTTCCTGCTCGCCGTTAACGGTGTGCGTCTCCCGGAGCCATTAACGGTAAATAGAGGTGATTTTCCTTCACTGCGGTGAAGCAGGATATCAATACAGCTGCCTCAATTATCCACTGCGTGCAGCCCAGACAGTGACGGAGGAGGTTTGACCCCCTTAAAGCTTCCATCAGCTGAGCTTACTCCACCTGTGGTATGTGCGGGAAAGCAGAGGAGGAAAAATGATGGCGGCTCCATAATCGTTATCTCCCTCCGCCATTACTTACTGCAGGTAATAGCATTCCCAGACAGAAGCTCTTTAGGAGCCGCGGCTGATTGTGGCATCTAATAGAGTGGGGATGGATGTGACCGAGTTTAAAGGCGGAGTCGCTCCATGATAGCGAGTTTAATAGGCGAAGGAAACGTCCCCATTTCAAGCCGATTTGGTTTGAATATATTCCTGCAGAGCTTCAGCAGTTTATGAGTCCTCATGTGGACGAGGCTCCAGGTGAGTTAAGGTGAACTGCGCTGCACAGAGTGATGATTAATACTTATAATAACTGTCTGCTGAAGTCCTGTGGAGGTTCGGCTTTGCCAGCAGACATGAATCCTTCGATTGTGGAAGCGTGGCGTGTTTACGTGATCGGTATCCTGCCAGTGTGTTCATCTCAGCCTTCGTCTCCCTCACGTACTTACTTTGGACACAAAGATTTGTGGCAACAACAGTAAAACTAGAAAACTTGAAAAGCTGAAATTAATTGGATGCAGATGTTCTGACTGCACTTTAGACAAAACATTTGATCCTGCATGCACTGCTGCTGCAACCTTCAGTCTGAGAGCCGAAGCAAGAAGAAGAGGAAGAAGAGCGACGTCCACACAGCACACCGTCATTCTACAGAGTCCATCAGGAGATATTAGCAGGAAGTCGTTTTCACTTCAGACTTATTTATAATCTCATCTTCATAATCATATTAGAAAGTGATTCACATTTAAAGTGCTGAAATATATTTAAAAAACAAGCTGCATGTTTTTCTGTCATGAAGCAGAGTCAGGACCCAAATGCAGAAACAAGGAAGTCAACTAGGACTCTGTGAGGAAACACAGGACAGAGACATCTGGGCAACACAGAAGCTGCTGACCAACCAAGGGAAGCAAAGAAGAACACCACACACGATGAAGGACCTTCAAACTAAAACAGGAAACATAACATGAGACAGACACGTGCAACCCTGACAGCACAGAGACACAACAAGATGAACAATGAAGATGAAATATCACAGGAAATAAACACC